TTGATTTCTTCTCCCTACCATCTCTTGCCCTCTCTACCTGTACTTTCTGACCACAGTCTTCCCAGGTCCCCCGAGAGCAGTGGTTCTCACCTCCTAGGCACCTGACTCCATGGCCACCTCCTCTGCTCTGCTTTGCCAGTCAGGATAGATCCATCTGATTTTCTTCAAGCTCCACTGGTGGCCCCCCTCTTCCATGCTTAATGCTATAATTTTTATTTCCTTTTGCCATTTTTTTAACTAGTGTAATCAGACACTTGTCTCATTCTTGAGTGAATCTGAGAAATCACAGATTCCTAGCAAGTCTAAGACTACCACATGCGGAGTTTATAAAGAAAATGTCCAAGGAGTGTTCCATTTCAAGAATATGAGGGAAGAGCAAGCAAGCAAGCATTTGAGAGAGTTTCTTTGGAGATAGTCTTATTCTCACTTGTCTACAGGCCAGCCCCAAAAGGGCTGGGGCCACAGTACCCAAGAGGGAGAGTGAGGAGCAGAGAAAAAGAGGAGCTGACCAGCCCTCCAACCCTATTCCCTTTTCTTTCCTCCTGTTGGTCAGTAGGAGGCCCAGGAAGCAGCTGACCCCCAGCCACTTTGCACCCTCTTATGGGAAGGTTGTGGATCTGGGGAACTTGCCCTTCACCTTCTGTCCTCCATAAAACCATTCTGTTTCTGGATCTCCACTGTCCCTTTCTCTCCCACCCTTCCTCTTCCATTTTACGCTTGCATTCCTTGCCTCTCCCCTTTCTCACTTACTGCAGATAATGCCAACCTCACATTGCTAATTCTCATGGCCATTTATAAAGACCATTACATTCCTCCCTTTCTCTTTCTTTTTTTCCAACTAACAGCACTGCAGAATGTGATGGTGGATCTCAGGAGATGATAAGAACACACAAGCACGGTGTGGTCAAGCTCCAAGAGAGGGCAGCAGGAAGGATGGGCCCCAAATTCAGCATGAAGGTGCCAGGAGGGCTTCCCAGAAGCTAAGTTTTGAGGAAGAATAGAGTTGGTCAGGGGAAGGGGATTTGAGAGGAGTTGTCAGGCCAGAGAGATCATTGTATGCAGAGTTTAGAGATCCACTACAGGACCATACATTCAGGAAATGACAAACTGTGAGCCTCTGTCCTCATTTTACACCTCAACTGCTGTGAGACAAGCAGTACAGCATGAAATACCTCTGTTTTAGGGTCAGAGAATCCATTCCATGAGCACTGTTTGCCTGGCCATGCAGGAGAAGCTGACAGTAAAGAGAATTTGATTACTTCAGTAGATTGGTCATATTAATTACAAGATTCTTGAGACTAAAAGCTTTCTGTTTTTCAAGAGTGGTCAGAAAGTCATGGGTCCTGTTGGAGGCTTCGTGGAGGGGCACAATAAGGTGAATCCTGCTTAAACTCTCTGTAGTCTCACTTGTTAAAAGTAAAGGAGAAATTAATTACAGTGGGTAATATATTCCACTGAAAAGGGTGCAATGCTCTGAGGACAAAAAATGAAATGACCCCGCCCATGTCAGTGCCAGAATGTCTAGGGGCAGCGTTCTGGGTAGAGGGAACTGGGACACTTGTCATGAAGCTAGGTTCATATAGCAGGTGCTCGTTTCTTCCTGTGATCTCAGAGGTCCACAAAATAGCCAAGTTTTCTAAAGGCCTTTGGATTCATACCTTACAAAATCCTGAGAAAACCTCCAATTTCATGTGATTATCTCTGTTGCAGTGGATTGGGGTGGTTTGTGGAGGTGAGGAACTTGAGGCCTTCTACATACCCTTGGCACTGCCATGGCCCATCCGTGGCCTGGAGAGGAGGTGCCAGCTCATGAGCTAGATGTGGGACCTGACCATGGGTAGCCCTGGGATCTGCTCTGCTGGAAAGACACTGTGCTGGGAGCCACACACTCATGTTTTCTGATAGCTCTGGGACCTTGGGCAAATCTCATGACCACCCCAAGTGTCTGCCCCAGGAGAGTGGGTATAGTGGGGCTAATAGTCAAGGTTCAATGTGATGACGTCTAACAATACTCTCACACTCTTCCATGGGGAGCACCTAGGCACCCAGTGGAGTGAACCCTGGGTGTCTGGAAGCATGCTCCTAAGGGTCTCTAGCAAGCATGAGAATTCTCAGTCTCTGCTCTAAATTCGAGGAAGCTTGCTTTGGCTTTATGTTTCATCTGTGCTTAACATTTTTAAAAAGTTTTATTACTTAACTTAGCCCCATCTCAAATCTTTGAGCAGAAATTCATGTCAGAATTCCCTAAGCACAGATGGGGAAGGGGCACAGGATCCTGGGATGTGGGCAGCTCAGTCTAGGAGGCAGAGTGATGGGAGAGCCTTGGTAAGCCATGAAACCCCAGATGCCTGTTGCTGACTGGTTTATTGATACAACCCAGAAGAGAGAACATGTGACAGTGAGACACTTACCAGGTCTTCTCTGAGAAAGTGGAACAGGTGCCCAGATGGATGAATCAGGCTTCCTGGAGAGGTATGGCCAGACCTTAGGGATGGGGCAGATCTTTTCTGCCCACCCAGGATTCCCAGCCCTCCCAGAGCTGACATGACCTCCGTGTGCTGGGCCTGCAGAACAACCTGGCAGTCCCACTTGCTCGTGATGGGAATGTTGTCACATCTGCCAGTCATCAAGCCCTGGGACCAAACCCAGGCTGCTCCTTTCAGCTACAGTGGTGTGCTCATGTGAGAGGTGCAGGCTGGCTCTGTGGCCTAGGAGGTCTGAGCTAGATTCCTGGGAACTGTGCATGGAGGCTGATTTGAGTTAGCACAAGGTATCCTTGCCCAGAGGGGTAATGGCCTTGTGGGGCAGGGCCCAGTCAGACCCTAGAATCTCTACCTGGCTCCTCCCAGACCCTTTGGGCTATGAGGTCTGTGACTCATGGTGGGACATCGAGGAGGTATGAGGTATTCGTGTTTCTTCTCTCCAGGCAAGTGCCTTATGACGTCAGTGCAAAAACTTCCTTTCCCTCTCTAGATCTTTCTCTAAGCCTCCTGGCTGAGAGAGTTGGGTTTCCAGCTGTGGAAAACTGCAAATTGGAAGGCACTGGACCATGGGATGCCACAGGGAGCCAGATGCCAATGTGAGCAGAGATGGAGCCTGAAGTGAGACAGGGAAGGCCTGAGGAGGGAGCATCTGCAGGATGTGGGGTGGATTGGATGAGGGAGGAAAGAGGGTGAGTGTTGGGAAACCTCTCTTGCCCATCCACTCTTGCCTAGAGGGTTTTCATAGTAATCATGAGGAACCTGCACATTATTCCCACTTTCATGTTCTTTTAAGACCTGATCAGAATAATTAACTTTGCAGTGTACAACTTGCGCCTTTACTTGGAACCAAACTTTCCATCCCGCGCTCAGCTCCCTGGCTCTGGCAGGGTGGTGTAGGTCTTTCTGGGCTTCTTTGTGCTAGCTGTCATAGCCTTGATGGACCCAGCTGCATTCCTTCCCCGGAGGATCAAGGACTTTTCATCACCATCAGTGCTGCTACCACCACCATCACCAACCATCTACCCTCACTGGCCTCCACTCTCCTAACCTGCTCCACTCTTCATCTTTGTCATCAACATTGTCTCTTCCACCAGCACTGGTAAGCACCACCATCATCAGTTCTCCTACCACTAGCCACCACACCACCCCCATCCTCAGGGCCATTGGCACCATCACAACCACCACCCTCACCACCCTCACCACCGTCATTATCACTACCATCCACTCAATGCTCATTACATCCTATGCTGTGGGAAGCCCTTTCTAACCAATGCCTCAGTTGGCATTTCTCTGTCCTCTTACCTATTCTAGACTTCTGTGTCTTCTAATGGTCTAAATCCCTGACAGGAAGCCCATATTTGTCCCTTGCTTTCAAAAGTAGGAAACCTCTCTCAGAGTATTTGTTTCCCCCAACTTGTAGGAAGAGATAAGAATGTTCCAAATGTAAGACAAGTCGCTTATTTGATTGGATTAAAAGGCAAAACAGGTGGTTCCATTGGTTTCTTTACAAATTGCCTTGGTGTAACTAAAGGAACCATAACCAGACTTTCTCTTATATTTCATTTAGCAAGAATCATTAATTCATCACACATACCAAGCAGGAGTCTTTCCCAGAAAATAAACTGGTTTTCACAGCTAATAAAAGGCTACCTTGTCCTGTCTACCTTCCCCTGTGAAAGGCCCATCTCACTGCCTGGGGCAAAGGAAGAAAACTCTGGTGCCCATGTCAGGGGAACTTTCTACAGTCTTCATGGGGCTGAATCAATGGGAGGGAATTTCAGGCTCTCCACCTTAGCCTTCAGATGTTGTTTCCAAGAACTAGGCCAGTTCCTTGAAGTGCTGTTTACATCTGAATTTGCATTCACGTGGGATAACTGGCTCTCTACAGTTGTTAGGCAGACTGGCTGTAAGCCAATGAGTTATTCCGGCATGGCCTTCATATTTCCCATCATCGGTTACCACTGTTTATTTGTTTAGTATGTATTCCATTCTGCAGCTTTTCATAATCTGTTGTGCACTGGTGATCTTTCTATCTCACTGATCTTGTGAAACTTTTACATTTCAACCAGTCAGATGGGAGAGTATAGTGATGTCTCTATCACATATATAGCCCTTTGTCAGTTATATATTTTACAAATAGTTTCTCATACTCTGTGCTTGCCTCTTCACTGCTTGACGGCATCTTTTGATGAACAAATTCTTTTCCGTAATGTCAGATTTATCAATCTTTGCCTTTGTGATAGTGGTTTGTATGCCTTACTTAAAAAAAAAAAAAAATCTTTATCCTGCAGTTAAAAGATACTCTTCTATATAATCTAAAATCTTCATTGTTTCAGGTTCAACATTTAGGTTCATAATCCACCTGAAAGTGATTTTTGTGCGTGGTTTGATAGAGGAGTTCAGTTTCTTTTGTATTTCATATGGGCATTTTACAGTTCCAGAATAATTAATCAAAAGGACATTCATTCTTCATTGTTCTGTAGGACTACCATTGTCTTATATGTGTTAATGGACTCTGTATATACACTGTCTGTGCTAAAATTGCTTTGCAGTGTCTTAAATTCTGATAGGACAAGGGGTGCCTGGGTGGTTCAGTCAGTTAAGCCTCCGATTTTGGCTCAGATCATGATCTCACAGCTCTTGAGTTGGAGCCCCACAGGCAGCTCTGTGCTGCCAGCTCGGAGCCTGGATCCTGCTTCAGATTCTGTGTCTTCCTCTCTCTCTGCTCCTCTCCCACTCACGCTTTGTCTCTCTCTCCTTCAAAAATAAGTAAACATTAAAAAAATTTTTTTTTTAATTATGATAGGGCAAGCTTTTCTACTTTAAGAGATCTTGGCTCTTAGAACTTTGTATTTCTCTGTATATTTTAGAATTCGTTTGTCAAGTTCTACCAAGAAATTTGTAATTGTCCCAAAATTCTTGGATATTGTAGACTGCTTTTTTTCATTCTTTTTACTTTTTGATTTTCAGTTTAGAAACTTTCTATTAATTATTTTCATGCTCACTGATTCTTTGCTTGGTCATATCCAGTCTACTGATGAACTCATCAAAGGCATTCTTCATTTCGGTTAGTGTGTATTTGATTTCTCATTTCCTTTTGATTCTATCTTAGAGTTTCCATCTCTCTGTTTACATTACCCATCTGTTCCTACATGTCCTTTTTCTCCATTAGAGCCCTCAGCATATTAATCATTATTTTAAATGTCTAGTCTGATAATATCAAAATCTCTGCCATATCTGAGGCTGGTTCTCATGTTTTCTTTCTTTTCAGACTGTTTTTTGCCTTTTAGCATGACTTGGAATCTTTTGTTGAAAGCCAGACATGATGCATTGTGTAAAAGGAACTGATAGGGCATTAGTATGAGGTGTTTCATTTATCTGGCCAGGAGTTTGGCTGTATTTACTGCTTGCTGTAGCTGTGGTGTCAGAGGCTAAAATTTCCTCTAGTGTTCTTGTCTCCCCTGTTGATTTTAGATTTCCCCAGAGACTCCTTCAAGAGGATTTGAGGCTTGCAGTCTTTTAGCTGTAATCCCCTTATTGTATAGGAGTTCTGTTGATGTGGTGGTAAGGTGTGGGGAAGGGGGAAACACTTTGTAGTCTCGTGGTTAGGTCTCAGTCTTTTAGTGGGTCTGTGATCCTGGGCTTCACAAGTATATCATAGCTCCCTAACACCTTAAGTGAGACAGGAAAGGTAGCGGGACTGGTGTTGGGTACTTCCCTTTCCCCAAGTCTGTTAGGCTTTGGCAAAACTCAAGTCATTAGGCTCTTGTAAAATAGTTTCCCTTGATGGCAGGCCATGTTAAGGAGAACAGAGGACTCTGGGCATATTCCAGAATGGTTACTTTTCCCCCTCCCCACTGCCAGAAGCACAAAGGGGACCCTTCTCCAGTCTTCATAGTGAGAACCTGATGGGCTTCTGGAGGTAAAACTCCTAAAAGTTTGGTGATCCCAAGACTGCCCCCTCAAGAGTTCTTAGCTCTCCAGCTTGTCTGTTCAGGGCTTACAGAAATTTGTCAATTATATTTTAAGTGTTCCTACCAGTGCTGGCTCCTGCTGTAGACTTTTGCTCCTACGATTCTTCTGGTAAGCTCTGATTCTGTATTCACTTCGTTTTTCAGGGCAGCAGTTTACTGTATGACCTCAGTTCTCTGTGGATCTAAGAACAGTTGTTGATTTTCAGCTTGTTCAACATTTTTCTTGTGTGAAATAGGGATGATGACTTCTAGACTCTCTGCACACCAAACCAGAAACTGGAAGTCCATCCTTCCAATAGAAGTTTTTAGCCAGTGATCGTGACATTTCTTTTTAGGTCTTTTGATATTCTCTTAACAAAGTTTGATCATTTTCTATAGAGAGGTCTTGCAAATACTCTGTTAGATATACTCCTAGGTTCTTGATATGTATTCATATTATTGTAAATGTATCTTCTCTTAAGATTTAACTTTGTAACTATTGCAGGTATATGGAGATACTGATTTTTAACAACTTTACTGAGAAATTGTATGACATAATGTTCTTCTGTTTAATGAACATTCTAACAGTTCAGTGATTTTTGTGTATTTACAGGGTTCTGCAGCCATTATCATAATCTAATTTTAGATCATGTTCATAGTCCCAAAAAGAAACCTTGAACCCTTAAGAGTCATTTCCTATTCTCCCTTTCCCCCACAGAAGCAACCACTGATTAACTTTTGTCTCTACAGATTTATCTAAATGAGATTACACAACATGTGGTCTTTTGTGACTGGCTTCCATAACAACATGTTTTCAAGGTTCATACATGATGTATCATGTATTATGTATCAGTGTTTCCTTCCTTTTTATAGCTGAATAACATTTCATTGTATGGATATACCGCATTTTATTTATACAGTCATCATTTGGTGGACATTGGGTTATTTACACTGTTAGATATTATAAATTATGTTACTACAAGCATTTGTATACAAGTTTTTGTGTGGACATTTTATTTCTCTTGGGTATATACCCAATGAGTAGGCTTGCTGAGTCATGTAGTAACTCTTTGCTCAGCATTTTGGAAAACCTTCAAACGATTTTTGAAGTGGCTCCATGATGTTATATTCCCACTAGCAATATGTGAGGGTTCCAGTTTCTTCACATCCTTGTTATTGTCTTTTTTTTTTGCCATTACTTTTTTTTTTAATTTTTATTTATTTTTAAAAATTTTAATTCTAATATAGTTAACATACAGTATTAATATTAGTTTCAGGTGTACAATATAGTGATTCATCAATTCTATACATTACTCAGTGCTCATCATGATAAGTGTACTCTTAATCTTCAACTATTTCACCCATCCCCCCACCAACCTCCCCTTTGGTAACCGTCAGTTTGTTCTCTATAGTTAAGAGTCTGTTGGGTTTTGGGGTTTTTTTTGGTTTGTGTCTTTTTTTTATTTGTTTTGCTTCTCAAATTCCACATGTGAGTGAAATCATATGGTATTTTTCTTTCTCTGGCTTATTTTGCTTAGCATTATACTCTCTAGATCTGTCCATGCTGTTGCAAATGACAAGATTTTGTACTTTTTTATGGCTGAATACTATTCCATTGCGTGTGTGTGTGTTCCATATCTTTATCTATTCCTCTATCACTGGACGCTTGGGCTGTTTCCATAATTTGGCTACTATAAATAATGTTGCAATAAACACAGGGTACATACTCTTTTTTGAATTAGTGTTCTCATATTCTTTGGGTAAATACCCAGTATTTACCAGATCATATGGTAATTCTCTTTTTAATTTTTTTTTTTTCAACGTTTATTTATTTTTGGGACAGAGAGAGACAGAGCATGAACGGGGGAGGGGCAGAGAGAGAGGGAGACACAGAGCCGGAAACAGGCTCCAGGCTCTGAGCCATCAGCCCAGAGCCCGACGCAGGGCTCGAACTCACGGACCGCGAGATCGTGACCTGGCTGAAGTCGGACACTTAACCGACTGCGCCACCCAGGCGCCCCATCTCTTTTTAATTTTTTGAGGAACTTTCATACTGTTTTCCATAGTGGCTGTACCAGTTTGCATTTCTAACTGTTCATGAAGGTTCCTTTTTTTCCACATCCTTGCCAACACTTAAATTTTTTATTTTAGCCATTTTGACAGGTGTGAGGTGATATCTCTGTGGTTTTGATATGCATTACCCTGTTGATGAGTGATGTTGAGCATCTTTTCATGTGACTGTTGGCCATCTGTATGTCTTACTCAGAGAAATGTCTACTCATGCCTTCTGCCTAAT